GATTATTAGCTAAGATGTTATGCTATTCTAATTGGTATAACATAAACAGTAAGTAGTAGTAATAAAATTTTAAATGTAAGACACTAAAACCTTGTGTCATTCGCAGTAAAGGATACCTGGGGCAATAGGGTTAAACTTTATTATCAAAGTATGTTAATAAACATGGCATCAAAACATAGGTTTGTAGTTCAAATTATTTAAATAACTTCTAATCTTCACTTCTCTGTATCATGTGACACTTTTTCCCTCTAAAAGCCTATTTTAGGTATTCTTTCCACCCCTCTTTGAGCTTCTGAGTTTAATACAAGTTACTAATTACAGTACAAGTATTGATTGCTAAGACATAATCTAAAGTTTAGCCTCCAATTTTCTTTTTTTACTGAGATATGAACCAAAGTGTCAAACTCGTACGCTACACCCTCTTATCACATCCTGTCTTTCAAACAATGTCAATAATTCTCTATGACATTTGTTATTGGATTATTCATCACCAGTAGAAAAAGAAGATTCTAATTTACTGAATTTCTTGCAAGGCTAACTCATTCTAATGACAGATTTTAAATTATTCAATCTACAGTTTTAGTCTTCAGACACTCTGACCAGCTTAATTAAAAAGCCAGTTAAATTATAATAGTTATAAGGCCTTGTATTCTTTGTTCATGCTATTATTTTGTGTTTTAAGCTGAATATTTGAAATAAATAAAAATTCAGTAAAGTACTAACAGCAATCCTATCATGAATTAGAATTAACTTTTATCAAGACTGACTGCAAAGTACAAAATCCACACATAAGAACTAAATTTTTGCTTTCTACAAATTTTTTATTTATTGTTATAAAAGTAACTAAAATGCAAAAATTGGAAAGTTACTAGGATAGATACAAAAACTGAAGTGAAAAAAATTCTCTGTGAGGTGTGCACACCAACTGCTTGTGCATTATGTAATTTGATACTTTGCCATAACTTGAGCTGTGTTCTAACCAAGTGATTTTTGCTTTGTTACATAAGTTACATGGTTCAAAAGAATAAAGAAATTAAAGCATGTGTAAAAAGAAAAAGGTAAGAGGCCTAAAGATGTTTGGATAAATAATTGTAATTGTTAATAACAATCTACAGTCCTTCTAGAAAAACAAATATTCTTGGTTTTATTTCATATTTTTCTACTTTTGCTAGAGACAGTTAAGAGATAAAATATAGTTTTACAAAAAAAAAGATATTCATTTTGGAGATTATAGAGGTTATTTACATAAAATATGAAAACTGTAAGATGAAAAAAGTATTTTTATTCTTAACATGAAAGTAACCTTGCACTAAGACTAGACAGTTTGTATCAGACCGACTTTGTAAATTCACTGACAAGTCTTTAGTAAAAATGCTTTTAAAAAAAAAAAAAATACTGGCTTTTTGTTTACAACAGACTTTTTACTTTACTAAAAGTTTGCTAAATTTTGTGAAAACACAAATAATAAATTCTGAACTGTATTAAACATATATTCTCAAAAGAGGTTCAGTACAGTGTACTGACTCCATGCACATTGGGTTAAAATATGTTTATCAAAGCCATCAGCAACTTCCATTTACAAACACTACATGTTTCAATGCCCCCTATTTAATATTTAGGAGTTCTTTACAAAATATTTGTTTGTAATATTTATACTTTTTGCAAGTCATGAGATATTACGTTTCCCTGTTATTCAAATAATTCACTGGACAACCTTTACGATATGTCATGCCATATATCAATGCAATGACTCTCTGGACATTAATCTTGGCTTAATGTTTCTCTTTTTTATTTAAATTATATTATTTCCAATGATTCACAGATATTTATAGCTGTAATATTGTGAGGTTGAGCTAGAACTGTAGTCTTGCCTCATAAAATTGAGAGTTATGCTGTTTGTAGGTGTTCTACTGTAGCTGAATTTTCTGATTTAGTTTCTTACATACCCTTTATACTCCTTTCATCTGCATTAACAATTTCTTTTAGTTAGACCAATATAAATACTATCATACGAACATTCTGCTTTGTAAATCACACTTCTTTCTTTGGATTCACTTTATCTTTGGTATTCCCCAACATTTATTTAATCTTATTTGTAGGTTTAGAAATAGGATGACATTTTGTTGTTTCATAAAAACATTATATAACTGACCTATTAATCCTGAAATATAAGGTAAACTTAGTTTTTTTTTTTAGTTGAACACAGTATTTTTAACTAACTTTTAATCATTACATAACTTGTAAAAAGTATACCTATTGAAAACAAGTGTCTAAAAAATAACTCCTTAAGATGATGTTGAAACAAATAGTGTTTTTAATTGGGAGCCATTGACTGCTTTAATAAACACCTTTTAATTGTGTAAATATGAAACATTGTATTTTAATTATCAATTAAATTTTAAACGTTACACAAGTGCTGGTCATTCATACTTAAATATGTTATTTAAAGGAGATACCTTTCAGAACTGAGCAGGAATCAAAGATGAAACATTTCCAAACTTTTCATTGCAAGTTACCTTAAAACATGTTGCAGAAGTTGGACATTATCAATTCTAAAATCATTCTGAGTAAAACATTGTGGAAATATAATTAGAATTAGTTTTATTTAAATTTTGAAATTTGATACACAAGTGTATTCTTGACACTGGAAAGCTGCTCACTAGTTGCAATAATTAATTGCTTTTTTTTAGTAGTAAATTAACAAACAACAACATGTAAAGCACAAGTCATTATTTGTTAATTTACTACTGAGTTGGAATAATGTGCATATCTACACAAGTTTCTTTCTTTTATTTCAAATTTAATTTTTCTCCTTCTAACTCTTCAGCCATTCATATCTATTTTTTTATTATTGCTTTAGCCATCTCTAACTTTTTAACTTCAATCATTCATATATTTAAATTTTGTATTCTTTTTTTTGTAATATTTTTACTCGATGAAATGTTTTAATATGTGTCCTTATAAACACTATTAAAATAAACAAGTTATGCCAAACTTATACAAAAAATAAATACATTTACCTGTTCTATACTCTTCTGAAGAGGCAAGAATCCAAAGTTTCTTCCCTTGAACATCTGGTCCATCAAATGGTGAGGGGAGGAACATATCTATTAGCCTAGGTGGAATAATTTTCCATGGGGAAAACTGACCCTGAAGGAAGAAAGTTAACATTTTTTTAATCTGAAAATATATTTCTCATACATACTCACCTCTTCAAATATGAATGTTATTTCCCTCCTGCATCTGCCTATGAGACTTGCATGCCACTAGTCTTGATCTAACTCACATTTAAACTCATGTGTTTAATGTGGACTGCACTCAGGCATAATGATAAGATTATGCAACAATAGCCCTCCACCAAAAGTAGGGGAGCACATCTTCCATACATAGTAATTCCCCTATGCACTTGTGATAACATAATTCTTTGACAAGACAAAGAAAAAAAAGTTGCACAGGAAGTGAGGAGTTTGGGTGGGAATGTGTGTACTGATGAGAATCTATTGAAAATACATTTTAATATGAAGAAAATGTTAACATAATATTTAGGGACAACAACGGACCTACTAGTCTAGCTAGGCTTCTAATTTGTCCCATTCCCTAAACTAAACTATTAAAAAAATTCTCAAAGCCAGCCCACATCATCAATATAGTTATGAAGCTTTCTCTTAAACTCACTTAAATTTACTACCTCTACAACATCCAAAGTCCAACTACCCTGTTTGAAAAATAAAGCTATCTTAGCTGAAGATGACTTCTATCCTGCTATTCTCACCATTAATTATGAAAAAAAAGATGATGCATGAACACTATAAATTCCCTAAGCAATCTTAAACACCTCAATGAGATCCCTTCTAACTCTTCTTTGTTCAAGAGAAATCAATTTCACAGATCTTAACCTCTCCTCATATGACAACCTTTCCATCATAAGTATCATTCTAGTAGCCCTCCTCTGAACCCTTTCCAACAATTGTCATTCCTACCATAAGTAGCCCAAGACTGAACACAATACTCCAAAATGCGACCAGCGACCTATACAATGAAATTATAATCTCTTTAAACTAGTATACAATATTTCTGTACATACAACCTAAAATCATATTTGTCCTACCACTAAGAGACTGATCAACCACTACAACAAGATCCTTCATATATAACTCACCTCTTCACACAAAAATGCTAGAATCCTAGGTTGAAGTGGTGGAGGGCCAGTACAAAAACTTACCTGGTTGAGCTCCCTCCAGAAAGTGCACAAAGGGAATCCCATGGAATGTGACACTAAATGGCAGGTGCTCCAAAGGGGCACACCCTTGGTAAACTGCATCTCTTCTTGACCAGGGTATACTCTTTGTCCAGAAATAAAAGATGTGGAGGCAAAAGAGCCCCAAGTGTCATAAGGATGGGAGGAATTTGAACATGGCTAACCAAGCACCTGCAGACAAGTGGTTGGTGAGCCAATATGTGTAGTGAGGTTAGTGTGTGTGATCAGTCAGTATACAACTCTACTGGGCAGACAGTCTGCAGGAGGGCAAAATAGCCATTTGAGAGGTGACCTGTACTATATCGACAGTGCTCAACTTTTCATTATATCATGCTAAACATGACCTGTGAGGATTCCTCATTGTCTACCACCCCAGCTGCTAGGAACTGGTAAGTGGCAAGGGTCTCCTATCCTCCACTTGAAGTAGAGGGGAGAAGAATTCATGTTGGGGAGACCTGAAGATGTGCTCAGATCCCCATCAAACCACAAGCCAGAAAAGTCTTTCACTGGAAATAGTGCAATGGGTGACTGAAAAACCCTATATTTAAAAAGCTGGCAAGCATGAGCCAAAAAGTGAGCATTCATATCCCTGGGGATAGGTTTTGTCATGATTAGTCCATGAAATTGGTACAATCTGGATAGGACAATTAACTAAATTTGTATCCCATAAGGATACCTCAAGTAATCTTGCAGAACCCTCCATCTCACAGTGGGCACTGGTAGAGCCAGAACATATGGACTGAACACTTCCATTATTTTGACTTAATGCTGATTTTAGAAGATAAGCATACCCTGAGAAGCAACACCAGCCATTTGGCAGGATGATGATTGACAAAAAAGAAAGATAAATGAAAAAGAAAAAAAAAATACTTATCTATCTCAAAGGCAGTGGGTTGATTGAAGAGTGGTGACTGGGGGAAGTCAAAATCCTGTGGGTGACAAAACAGCCAGATGATGATAATAATGAGCAATGAACTTGTGAGGAGTCATCCACATGTCTACTTAGAGCATCTCGTCAAGAGCCGGTAAAGGTGAGAAGCAAACGAGTGAGTCAAGTGAAGAAATGTGAAGAAAATACCAACCGGAGGAGTTAAAGGACACATCCAGTAAAGGTAGAAGGAGAGAGATTCCTGGAAGAAAAAAGAGGTCTCAGGGTAGGAACAGATGATGGTAGGACCTCAAAAGGCAGAAGGCCATGATAAGTAACACTGAACAGGACACACGATTTTATAAAGATCTGAGCAATCATATAGGTGAGAGATGAAAAGGAGAGAGGAGAAAAATATAATTACCTTCCAGGTTCAAAGCTCCCAGCATATGACATGCAACAAAATGAACCCAATGTGAATGGGCCCAGAAAATTAGGTCCAATACCTCAAAGCAAAGAGTCCTGGAACATATGCCCCCTAAACAATTTATATAAGAAATGTCAGTGGAACTGTTGAAGTGGATCATGGCTAAGTGATCCACCAGTAGAGGCTGGAAATGAGAATATGCATGAAAAACAGCTAAAAGTTCGAGCACATTGATATGTGGGAAATGCTTTTCCTGTGTCCAAATTTCAAAAGTCATGTCATCATTCAGAGAAGTGCCCCAACCTGAAAGGGTAGCATCAGTGAAGAGATAGAGATCCGATCTCATGGTAGTAAGGGAGTGCCAGAGATAATTTTGGCATAGTTAAGTCACCATGACAATTCCTGGAGTAGAGGTTCACAATCGAGGACAGCGGATCCCAAGATGGAATCCATTGGTCCCACAAAGTCCTCTGAAGGAGGTGCATGTGTGTGCATCCCTAAGGAATAAGGGGTTCCAGGGAAGCCAGAGTCCCCAAAAGTGAAATAAGCTATCGTGCATGATGAGAAGGAGAAGTGTAAATCTTGAGACAAGAGTAGAAGAAGACACCTAGATGTACCAAGTATTGAGTGGGCACAAAAAAGGACTTGGCTATCTTGACAAGCCATCCCAACTATACGCCTACTGTAGAATAAGGTTTGAGAAAAGGATACCTTCTGGAAATGGTCTAAGAGGAGCTAAGAGTGTAGAAGTGGAATCTCAGTCTCAGACTGTGAAGGTCCTCATGACTTGATTGAATACATAAAGAGCCGACCCAACACTGAAGGAAAGAGCACAGAATTGGAAGATGCAATTCTTAAAAATGAATCATAGAAAATGTCTGGAGGATGGGGCAATCATGATGTGGAGGAAGGCATCTGACATGTTAACCTTGGTCATCCACAGCCTGAGTGAAAATGACCATCGGATAGAGAATAAATATTCCATATCAAAACATGAAATAACCATAAAGTGGTTGAGAGATGACAGGTCGATTACTAGATGCCAGGTCCCAGTCTTCTTGTGGACCACAAAGAAAAGTGAGAAAAACCCTGGAGAAAGATTGTATACCTCTTGATGGCATATTTGAATAACATATCTGATACCACATCCTTGAGACAATGAAGATTGATCAGGTCTGAAGGAGGAGAAAAGGAAATGGAAAGAGGAGAGAGAGGGCGTGGAGAAGTAGAGAGAATGACCATGAGTGAGAACTTGAAGAACTGATCTGTATTTGAAGAAGGGTGTAAAGAACAAAGGTAGCACAGGAGGTTGTTGAGAAAAAGATGATGCAACAACTGGGCACTTGAGAGCAATAGAAGACAAGGGGTCTGCTCTCCAAGCAAGTAATAGATTCCAAAGAGTGGGAATCTAGTAAAATTAAGGAAGAATGGTTGTAAGCTAGACCATGGGAATCAAGAATGCGAGGAGGATGAGTCGTGTGGGTACAGGTGCAAAGTTGTGTAAGGAATGAATCAGCATGAACCTGAATGTCAGGCAAGGGAGGAAACATTAAATAATCACAAGGGTTAGGATCATAGAAGAAAGAATAGAAGGAATAATGAGACACAAGCAAAAGAGAAAGAAAGGAACATACCCAAGTAATTAAGCCTCAGAACAATGTGGAATGTTGAGGATTTTCCTTGATCAGTTGGGAATTACCCAAGACAAATTCAGGCGGAAGGAACATGCGATTAAACTTGTCTTCCTCTAGTTCAACCTCAAATTGAGGGGAAGAAAGTTCAGCCAAATAGATAGGAATAAAAGGCTCAGTGTATAATGGCAGTAATGTCAATGAGCTTCCCAAAGTCATAGCAGAAATAGGGCCTGGGACATAGTCACCCACACAAGACAAAGTTGAAGTCACTATCACCTGAGAATTCATGATAAAACCTAAAGCTTTTGGAACAATAGTCAAAGAAAAATGAAAATTAAAGTTTTGTTACAAAATGCAGATATCATCAAGTTGAACACAGAAAAGAAATTTAGAAAACGTGTTCAATGCAGTACCAAGGGGAAAACTGAAGTTATCAAGAGGGCAAGTGCATAGGGAGAGTTTTTGCACATGGAGTAAGTGTCACCCTCCTACTGATGGAGGGCTATTGTCAGAGATGGCATTATCATGCACCAATGCAGTTCAGATTAAACACGTGAATGTAGGTGGGAGTTAGCTTAAGACTAGTGGTATAAAAATCTCATAGGCAGACATACAAGGGAAATAGCATTTCTGTGTGAGGTGGTAAGTTATCATCTCTGAAAATAGTTTTAATTTAAAATTTAGGATAAAAAGGAAAGCACTGGTATGTTGGTTTATAAGATAAATGAGAAAAAATAAATTTTGGATCAGAAATTCTTTTATGCAATAAAATAAAGATTTATATATTATATAAATTTAAAGTTGTTTACTTTTAAAAATCTCCTGTTAAAACTTTTACCAAATGCATAAATATCTATAAAGTATGTGAACTTAGAGTTGTTTACTTTAAAACACATATCTATTTGAACTTCTGTCAAATACAAAATAATTTAATACGTATTTACATTTTGCTATATCTATTTAACTTAACCATTACCAAAACGTTTATCTTGGCCTTTTGATACAAAAAATAAAATTGATTTAACATATGAATGTCCCATACTTACACTAAAGCTGGCAGAATTTTTAATTAACTGAACAATGATCTACAGCAAAACAAAGGTGATAGAGAAATTTCAAAGAATACACAAGCAACCAGAAATTTTTCATTAATATGAAAACTATTTTTACACTTATGCAGAGAACAATAACTACAACAACCACATTTAAGTACACAAAGTATATTTTGCCCAGAACCATACTCTGTTTTCCACATATACATGAACCCAGTCTAAGAACAATAACCGATGAGCAACAGTCAATAAAGGATGGTTTGCACAAGAGATCAGTTGTTCCATGAGCATCTGTTCTTCTCGGCTGGTAAAGAGGTCTGAGCCAAACTCTTGCTTGATTGAGAAATCAAAGAGAAAGTTCTTAGCTTCTATTGTTAAATGGCAATAAATCAAGAAATTAATTTCAAAGGTTACAAACTTTATTTGTCTACAATTCTGTGTAATTACCAAACATCTTGAAAATGTTTAGTCCTCTCTTTCAATCAAAAAAACTTACAACTGCACATTAACAGCTTTTTTTCATAAGTTATAGCAATTAAATAGTTAATGTATGCTGAAAACCTGTCTTATGAAAAGTCAACTTTTGAGGAAGAGTTCATTTTATACATAGAGTCTTTACAACTTCCTATGATAAAGGGTGGGAATCCCTAGTGAAAAGATTAATTTATGTTTATATTCCACAACATGATGTGAAATGAATAAAACATACACTTTTTCAAAAAACAATTTACATTCACAAACTATATCAACATATTTTGATAGTTTTAGTTTTACAAGAATTTCACTTGATTCACAAGCATTATTTTTATAAAAATTCAAAACAAGAACATTTCTTCAATTAACTTGCATTTGCCTACTGTGTTTTTAAACTTTTCAATACTTACCTTGCACCTTTTTCATTTTAAAAACGACACTTCTCTACAAACCTAAATTTTATCAAGAAACAATGGGATCCTTTTTTTATGCAACAGAAATTATATTACAAATACATATAGGGTGATTATAAAGACAGTTTTGCAGTGCATTTTATTATGCAAACAGTGTAACGTAGGAGTGAAATTGCACAGGGGTATTAAGGGTACAGTTTTCCCATGTTACCAGTAGGGCACCACTGTGATTTTCTCGTATTTCTCACAAAAATATATGCAGCTCATTTAACCAACAGGAAACTGACAAGGGTGAAGGAAAGCAAACTAGTGAACTATTATTATGTCAATAGATGCAATGCACAGACAACTCTCAGGGAATACTGTAGAGTCCAAAACATTTACAAGTTCATAGAAAAAATTTGAGGAGACAGGCTGCACCTGTGATAAACCATGTACAGGAATACCACTGACACCAACTGAAACTATACCTCAGGTCAGCCATACCTCAGAATAAGTCAGCACAAGTGCACATAGGTGCAGCAGTGTTCATTATGCTTCCCAGTGTTTGGATTTGCAATTTGAACTGTTTATAAAGCTCTTCTATTAACTTTGCAAATGTTTTCTTACAAACTGCATAATGTTCAACCACTGAACAAGATAACTCTAACCTGATGTATTGATCTTGCATTGCAGTTCTTTACAAAATGGAAGTTGATAACCAATTAGCTGCTAATATCTTATGGACTGATGAAGCATACTTCACCCTTTCTGGAAGTGTCAACATGCACAACTGCATTACCTGGTTGGAAACTAATCCACATGTAACATTTTCTACACACATCCACAATGTTAAGGTAACAGCGTAGTTTCACAGCTGACTTTGTTATTAGACTGTACTTTTTTAAAAGCCATCAGCATATGGACAGCAAACCTGCACAGTCAATGTTATATGGTACCCTGTAATGTTCATAATCAATGTGATTCCCAAGCTGTAGCAAGGAAATGTGAGACACTACAGTTTTCATGCAAGATGGTGTCCCTCTGCATACTGTAAGCAGGTGAAATACATCTCTGGCCAAGTTCATGACCTCAAATTGCCCTTTAGAGTTTCCAGACTATAACTTCTAATATGTTTTGGGTATCTTCACAACACTTTATAAGCCTTCAGTAAACATTAAAATGAAATATTTTTACTAAATATATCTCCATGAATATATGAAGTCAAAGTTTTGAATGCTCCAAGTACAAAGTACTTTTTAATATTTGAAAATTGCAAAATTTCATTTGCACAATCTCTACAACCTTCTAGGTAAATTTTAAAAGTTTTTTTCAGCACAACTCTATATTTTATCTGTTATTTTCTCCACTTTAACTCTATACAGGGTCAGTCATAACCACAATGAAAAAATATAAAATCAATGTAAATTACCCTTTTATGAAGTCAAATTGACTGACCTCGTAACCACTATAAAAAAAGGAAATACTGTAAATTACCCTTTTTTCTATGTAGAATTACTTCAAATTGTAACAGGAAACTAGATTTGTTTATTGTAAATAACTTAAAGTTTGTAACAGTATACATCTGTTTCTACTTAAATTTTATTGTTTTATTGCCTAATAAAATGTGGTCGGCGAGGTAAGCCAAAGGTGGTACATTCCAACAGGCTTTGTCATTATCACGGTCCAGGACATTTCAGTTGGGAAGAAGTGAACAACAGAACAAAAGATGCCGCTGAAGATGTGTCACCTGGAAAAGCCACTGTCAAGGAAGAAACTCTACTCGGTTTTGAGAAGGGAAACAGTGAAGCCCTTCATGAAGTTACTACCGCTGATGTGACTATTACTGATAATAAGACAATTCCTGATGGAGCAGATGAACCTCACGTGAAGCAGAAGCCAGAACGGAAGAAGGTACGTCCCGTAAAATTAAGAGACTTTGTTGAATTTTAATTTTATGTTTGGAAATTCTGTACATTTAATTAACTTATTGTTAATTATCTATTGGTTTAATTTAATACCAAGGAAGGGGCAGTGTTACGACAGCAGAAGTCACGTGACGCTGGTAACACATAATGAGGTAATGAGTATCTCGAACATTTCTGAAGGCTCAAGTGTTTCCTAAACGCCCTCTATTTTGTATTTATAAGACCGGCGAGAAGTGACAACATAGATAATTGAATTGCAGACAGAGAGATATAGAGACAGATAATCGAGTCAAGCCGTAAGTAAAATGCGTGAATCGTTGTGAATTCTAGCGTGTGTTTAAGTTAAAGTGACTGTGGAAATTAAGTGTATTGCAAAGTTGTATTGAGAAAGAATAAACTAGTTTTATTTAA